GACCTGCCGTAGAGAATAACAACAAAAGAAATCAGGAGGCGTGCACCACTGTGTTGGAAGATGTACAGTTGTTGAGAGAATAAAAGATGATGTATGCTATAAAAAGGTATCCAAAAGATGATTCACGCACTACAAACTCAATCTGACACCAGAGTGCCGACGTGGAAAGAAGAAAAGATCTCCACTGAGCTCTTGAATACGTAATTTTAAAAACCGCTACTTCTAATGACTTCTATTCAAGGACTTAATTATACAGAAACGGCTCTGCACTCTCCTCTTGTTCCTCCTGGCTCCTCAGTTCCCAGCAGTCTCACTCTGCTGCTCCTGTCACAGAGGCTGTCCTATCCAAGGGCCCTGACTTGTAGTGCCAAGCACAAAGGCCATCCTCCTAAGCAGCCAGCAGCATTTAATTCTGCTGACCAGGGCTTCCAGAGCGCCTCCTGCCTGGCTTCCGTGACCCCCGCTCTCTTGGCTCTGCCACCCTCGCTGCTCTCCCATCACCTTCTGCACCTTCCTTCCTGCCCTGTGCCCTCTGCTCTTCTCATACTTGTGAGCACAAGGTCAGAAACTTGGCATCTAAAAGCCAGACCTGTTTAGAGAACCAGCTCCTGGGTGGTTGACTGAATTGAGTGGATTCCAATTCCCTCCCTTCTTCCTTGCTTCTGTGTCACTTGTCAATATCCAGGTATTGCAGACTCAAGACTCCCCAAGATACAGACCACTGTTTAACTAATAAAAACAAATGTAGTGGGGCCAGCAGGTGGCGTGGTGGTTAGGGTGCTGGACTCCCACATGGCTGGCTGTAGTTAGCGTCCTAAACCTGGTGGCTTTCTTTCTTATCTTCTCTCTCTCTCTCTCTCTCTCTCTCGCACACATGCCCTGTAGCAAAATGAAGAATGATAATAACAATAAATAAAATTAAATAAATTATTTTTTAAATGTAGTAAGAGCTCAGAATAAGACAGAAAAATCATTTCTCTTCTGTTCCAATATGCTTGTCTCTTTAAATGTGATAATTAAGCTTGAAACTAAATTAGGTTGGGGGTTTCCCTCAACCTTTTCTGCCTTATTTACAGCAATGAAAAAATAGAACTTTTTTTTTTTAAATAGAAAATATGTTAAAACTTATTCTGTTTGATTGGAGGAAAATAGGTCCAAATGAAAAACTCCTACACAAAATTCTCCCATGCTCATCATAGATTATCCCAGAAAACCTTGCTTCCAAATTCGTATTAGCTGCCTTAGACACAATACTAAAAGCACAAACAAGAAAAGAAAAAACTGATAAACTGAGCTACACAAAAATATGAAACCTTTGCACTAGAAACAGTACCATCAAGTGTAAAGCCAACCTAGACAGTGGGAGAGACACTTAGAAATCACGTATCTAATAAGAAATCTGTACCTAGAATATGTAAAGGGCTCCTCCAATTGAGAAACAATAAGACAATAACCAAATAAAAATGAGGAAAGGAGGCCAGCAGGTGGTGTGGAAGTTAAGGTGCTGGATACCACATAGCCAACTGTGCAGTTCAAGTCCCAGACTTGGCAGCTTAAAAATTACACTGAGGGCAGGACCAGCAGTTAGCATAATGGCTATGTCGCTGAACTCCCATGTAGTCAACCGCGGTTTGAATCTCGGACCCGGTGGCTTGGACTCATGCCAGGCGCGTGTGCATGCATGCCCAACATCCCGAGAGGAGAATGAAGGAGAAGGGATTGAGGTGTGACCATCCCCCTGGAGGGTGATTTCTCGCTTTCTGTCTCTCTGTCTCTGTCTCTCTCTGTCTCTCTGGCGAGCACACGTGCCCTATAACAAAAAACCTCTCCAAAAAAAAAATTACACTGAGGGCATGTATACGCACACCCAAAATACAGAGAAGAAAACGGAGGAAATGGGATTGCGGTACGGTTATCCCTCCAAGGGAATTTCTATTTCTCTCTCTCTCTCTCTCTCTCTCTCTCTCTCTCTCTCTGCCAGGCACATGTACCCTATAGCAAAAATTAAAAAAAAAAAAATGGGTAAAGGATTTAAATAGATCATTCCAAAGAAGAGAAATGACCAATAAAAACATGAATATATGCTCAACATCATAATTCATCAGAAAACATCAGAAAAACCCAAATCGAAACCACAAAGATAGCACTTCATACCTACTAGGACGGCTACAATTCCAGACAGATAATAACAAGTCCTGGAAACAATGTGGAGAAATCGGAGCTCTCTTACATTGCTGGTGGGAGTATCCACCGAAAATCTGTATGCTAATGTTTACGGCAGCATTATTTACACCAACCAAGACAGTGGAAACAATCCAAATTTCCCCCAAATAATGGATAAGAATAATATGTGGTATATCCAAAGAGAGGACTATTACTTAGCAAAAAAGAAAAAAAAAAAAAAAGGAGTACTAATACATGCTGCAGTATGAACGAACCCCGGAAACATCAACCTGAAGGACAGGAGACCACACATCACATGATTCCATTTATATAAAATGTTCACCACAGGCACAGATAAAAAGTATCTAGAGACAGAACCGGATCCGTGGGTGCCTGGAGCAGGCAGAAAGAGAAAATAGGGAATACTGCTGCTGACTTTCTTTTTGAGGCAATGAAAATTTCTAAAATTAGGCTGTGGTAACATTCACATAACCCTCTGAGTGTGCTAAAACCCACTGAACTGGACACTGTAAATGAGTGAAGCATGTACCTGAATTCTACCACAATAGAACTACAAAAAGAGTTTCACTCAAAATAAATCTCAAAGGACAAAAATCCCTATCAAAATGTACCACCTAATTGTATATTACATTCACTTGGGGCTCCATTCACAGAAGAGACGGGATTTCCTGAAGGCGTGCATTCAGGGTCCAAACTTAAGGTAAATACTATATTCTCAAATAACAAGCAGTTTCCTCCATCACACAGTGTTTCTTCGCCCAGGCTGTACAAGCAGGTAATGCACACGCCACAGGGAACCCCGGATCTGAAGTGAAGGGGAACTAGACAGAGAAAAGGTCTTAAGGGGTAACACCAGAAACACTGGTAGGGAATCACTGATCTCTGGGTGTCTCTTAGGAGCACAGCCTTGGAGAAAATTACTAATAGCCTTTGATGAACTAGCATGCTTTATAAACTCATTGTCACATTGGCCTTCATACACTATTAGTCTAATTATGGTCCCTACTTTTTATTTCAGTAAAGAGTTAATGTCAGCAAGGGGAGAATGAATACATACATATATAAATATATATATATGGCAAAACAACCCCATTCTTGAAGATGCGAAGAGCCCTGAAGTGTACACAGCCTAACTAATATCACACAGGAGAAAACATAAGGAACGGGCATACCTCCCAGAGCATAGAGGAGCTCCAAAGCTTGGACCATCGACTGTGCCGGAGGGGGCTGTAAAAAAAAAAAAAGTTCTCCTAAATTAGTTCTGAGGGCAACAGGCTTAAGAATGCAGCCCCTTCCCACTCAAGTCTACTTGCCCTCTACCACAACCCACACTGCCCAGCCTCCACGCTTCTGTTCATGGTGTCAGCACCCCTGAAATGTCCTTCCTGTCCTGCTCAGCACCACAGTATTACTGAGCCTTTAAGGGTCGGCTTGATTAAACACTTCCCCTAGAGGCCCAACCCTATCCTCCCCTGCACCAGAAATGACGGGTCCCTACTTAGATGACCTTCTCATTTCATTAAATTCTTCTAACCTATTTCTAATTTTGACTTCACAGTCTTAACCTTTTAATGCCCAAGGAGCCCCAGGACAATGCAGCACTCCTCACGGGGTCTGCAAAAATGTTCGTGGAAAATGCATATTGTCAAGAAAGTCTTAGGGGGCTGGCAGGTGGCTTGGTGGTTAAGGGCATTGGACTTCCACGTGGTCAACTGCAGTTCGATGCCTGGACCTGGTGGCTTGCTTTCTCCGTCTCCCTCTCTCCCTCTGTCCCTTTCTGGTCAAATCTAAATAAATGAGTAAAGTTGAATAAAATAATTCTTAAAAATATATAAAAGGCTGCTTAGATATCAGAAAGCTTCTGCACCAAAATAAACTCATATTTTAATTCCATCTCTCCACAAACTTCCTGAAGTTCCCTCACATCTCTGCATCACCCAGAGCTCTGCTCCAGGTCTTGTCTATGATGGATTAATAACATATGCAGAATTTTAGTTTCTGAAATAACAGAGAATGCTAGATAACCTGAAGTTAAGCAAAGCTGACCCTGTGACATTCAGTCTTATTCTCTGGATCTTTATCGCCTTCTTTCCTTTTATTTATTTATTTTTTTAGAGAGGTTTTTGCTATAGAGCACGTGCGCTCGCCAGAGAGACAGAGAGAGACAGAGAGACAGAAAGCGAGAAATCACCCCCCAGGGAGGATGGCCATGCCGTAATCCCTTCTCCTCCATTCTCCTCTCGGGATGTTGGGCACGCACGCATACGCGCCCGGTGTGAGTTTAAGCCACCGGGTCCGGGATGCGAACCACAGTCAACTACATGGGAGTCCAGCGACATAGCCATTACGCTAACTGCTGGTCCCTCACCTTTCCTTTTAAAAATCTTTGCTTGAGCATTTACTAAGTACCAGGCATGCCATTATTTTCTTTCTAAATTATTTGGTTTCTATTTAGTCAGGTAATAAAATTATAGCACTTTTCTAATTGCAAAGGTTTTTTTTTCCTAAATACATTCACATAACAAATCTACTTTAAATATCACTAAAGTTTTAAGCTCAATCTTAAAAATAAAGGGAGTAAGAGTAAGCAAAAGACATTTCACCAAGGTGGGGGCAAAGCCAGAAACTGAACTCAGGCCTCATTTTTCCACTCCACCTCACCCGCTTTAAGTGCTGAAATGACTGTGTATATACCTACTATATGAGGGTGGGAACTAAACCTAACTGAGTCACTACACTTGGGTAGCGGACAGATCATGGCTGAGCAAACCATGGAATCCATCGACTTGCCTTTCCTCAGTGCCAAAGACGCAAAAAGCATGATACCTAAAATGCAGGAGCTTAAACTCTCTGAGGATCTTTGACCCTGAAATGATATGAGGTAACAGGAGTAGTAAAGCTTTGAATGAGGTTCTGCACAGTCACAGAACAAAACTAAGTAGGTCCTCTTTGCTTCTTTTCAATCCTGGCCCTATTTCCAGTCAATTATTACCAAGGGACAAAAAAAAAAAAAAAAAGGCAGACAAAAAAAAATCATATCCATACAAATCCATCCCCACACAAAAATCATATCCATAGCATTTTCATCCAAACACATATTCACCAGTTACTTCTCTATGAAACTGATTTTGAATTGCGCATAAATATGGTTTGAATATACCTAGGATGGTGTATATGTGTAATTTTCGTTTGTTTTTCTCACTGTTGTTTTCATTTTCATTGTCTTTTTTAAAAAAGAATTAAACTTTCTTTCTCTTTTTCTATCTTTCTCTCTCTCATCCCCCTCCCCCCCCCCTTTCTTTCTTTCAACTTGACCAGAGAGGAACAGAGTGAGAGCGAGAGAAAGAGGGAAAGTGAGAAAACAAACCACCAGATCTGGGACTTTGCAAACCACGATCGGCCATGTGGGAGTCCAAGCATCCTTAACCACCACACCACCCACTGGCCCCTGTTCTGTCTCTTGTACACACAGAAACTTCACAATAATTATTTAGGATATAGTTGCCTAATATCCATCATGATCATATTCCATTAAAAAAGTCAATTTTCTTATTAGTGAGTAATTCAGTTGTTTCTTGTTTTTCACTATTGTAAACAGCTCTGCTAAATATACAAAATTATACAGATCTTGTGACTGCAACTATAAAAAACACAACTTTGGGAACAAATAACCAGAAGAAATTACATGAAGATGAATTTATATTTTTTAATTGTCCAGAAGTCTTACTTTAATTTTATTTATATTTTTTATTTAAAATAAAATAATTCTATAAATATTATCATATATCTAAAGCATTTTTCTCTTCTTTTTTTTTTCAGGAGAAATTTCTATAAGAAATTTCTATGGCATTTTGGGACAGCAGGTGGCATGGTGGTTAAGGTGTTGGAATTCCCACATGGCTGACCATGGTTCGAGTCCCGGACCTGGAGGTTTGCTTTCTCACTCTCCCTCTCCTTCTTTCTCTGTCTTTGGCAAAATTCATGTGAAAAAAAAATAATAATAATAACAATAATAAATAATTCTTTAAAAAAAAAAAACAAGAAATTTCTATGCATTTTTATGACTCATTAAATATTGTGAGAAAGGGACCAGCAGATGGCATAATGGTTACATCGTTGGGCTCCCACATAGTCGGCCATGGTTGAAGGTCTGGATCCAGTGACTTAAACTTCATACCAGGCACATGTACGTACGTGCCCAAAATCCTGATAGGAGAACAGAAGAGAAAGCACTGTGGCATGGCTATTCTACCTGGGGGAGTGATTTCTCGCTTTTTGTCTCCCTGGTGAGCGCACACACCCTGTAGCAAAAATCTCTCTTAAAAAAAAAAACAAAAATGCATACACACACACACACACACATATACATATGTTCCTTGTCTTGTTTTGCCAGTGGGTGTATGGGCTTGCCAGAGGGTAGAGGAAGGAGAAAGCGCCCCCTATTGGGGCATGCTCATGCTGCAATTCCTTTCCTCCAGGATTTTGCCATAGGGCGGGTGCCACCACGCCCGGTCTTTCCTCCAGGATTTGAACCATAGCTGGTCATATGAGATCCAGCTCCCTACCAACAGTGCCTAATCACTATGCAACGGTGCCAGTCCCCTTAGGGTATTTCAATTTGCACTTTTCCCTCCCCAACTTTTTTTTGGCAGATGGCTCCAGCAAATGCTACAGAAAGAGAGGGAAAGTGAGAAAGTATCCCCATGGGGGATGGCCACCCCGCCATCCCTCTCTACCATCTCTCCCTCCTTTTAGGATTTTGGGCACGCACACACACATGCCTAACATGTTTCTCAAGTCACTGGGTCTGGGACTCACACAGCGCAGTCAGCCATGTGGGTTCTAGCTGTCTTAGCTGCTGTGCCATTAGTGGTTATTTCTCCCTAAAGATGAACATATTTAAAAGGTAGTTTAAAACCTGTGCCACTTCCTTCCTCCTTAGTTTTTTTCTTTAGTGAATATCTGATTATTCTAAATGGTACATGTATGAAAAGTGTGTATTTCGGGACCAGCAGATGGCGTAATGATTAAGTCACTGGACTCCCATATGTTCGACCGCAGTTCAAGTTCTGGACAGACTTGAAATTCATGCTGAACATGTGTGTGTGTGTGTGCCCAAAATGCTGATAGGAGAATGGAGGAGAGGGGATTGCAGAGTGGCTATTCTCCCTGAGGAGTGATTTCTCGCTTCCTGTCTGTCTCTTTCTGTCTCTCCAGCAACCACATGCACACACTATAGCAAAAATCTCTCTCTCAAAAAAAAGAAAAATGTATTTTTTTAAGATACTGATCTGTCATTTCTCCTGTTATATGTTTACCTTTAGTCTTTTTTTAAAGAATTATTTTACTTAACTTTATTTATTATTATTATTATTTTCCAGTATGATCAGAGAGAAAGAGAGAGAGGGAAAATGAGAAAGCAAGCTACCAGGTCTAGAACTTGAACCATGGTCAGCCATGTGGGAGTCCAGTGCCTTTAATCACCACACCACCTGCTGGCCCCTGTTTTCCTTTAATCTTAAACATGGGGCTTAACAAGTTATTAAACTTGCAAGTACTGTTCACCCTTTCTTTACAATCTTATTCTGTACCTCAATATTCACAGGTTACAGCTTATAGCTCTATATCTACAGAAAAATAATTATTTTTGTTTGGAAGTGCTGGTATTTGTCTACTCAAATTTTATTTGCCTAGTTTACCATGACATATGACATTAAGGTTTTTTTTCTTTTTAGAATTAATTTTTATTTACTTTTATTTATCATTCATTTATTTTAATTTGACCAGAGAGAGACACACAGAGAGAGAGAGAGAGGGAAAGTGAGAAAGCAAGCCACCAGGTCCGGGACTCGAACCAGGGCTCGCCATGTGGGAGTGTCCAGTGCCTTAGCCACCATGCCACCTGCTGGTGGTCCCTGACATTAAGGATTTTATTATCCAAGGATCCAGACTTGTCACACTATACACCAATACAGTTAAGACAGAACAAAAATGCTTAAATGCAACCCTCAGATCACAAAAATTCCAGAAAAAAATATGAGTGAATATGTATTAACTGACCTAGATGTGAGAAGTGCTTCATAAGCACAACAGTAACTGAATAAATAATAAATGCAAAAATAAAAAGATTTTACTATGGCTATGTTTAGGATGTCTGCACACTTAAAAAATAAAAAAACCCACGAATAACCAAAAACAATCTATAAGAAATATCACATACAAAGTTTAATATCTTTAAACTATAAAGGACTCACATATATCACAAATAAACACTAATTACAACAGAAGAAAGGCTTAACAATTAAGAATAGAAAGTGACAGGACCAGCAGTTAGCGTATGGCTATGTCGCTAGACTCCCATGTAGCCGACCGCGGTTCGAGTACCGGACCCAGTGACTTAGACTCACACCAAGCACTTGTGCATGCGTGCGCGCCCAAGATCCAGAGAGGAGAATGGAGGAGAAGGGATTGCGATATGGCCATCCCCCCAGGGGGTGATTTCTCGCTTTCTGCCTCTCTGTCTCTCTCGGTCTTTATGGCAAGCGCATGCGCTCTATAGCAAAAACCTCTCAAAAAAAAAAGAATAGAAAGTGACTAATAAACATTTTTAGAAATCCACCTAGTGAGGGTCCAGCAATGGCAATGTGAGCAGGAGGGTCCTGCTGCACAGTGGCTGGGGCTACACGGGAGGCCCAGGCGGGGTCTCCACCTAACCTAAACAGGCCAGGGACAGTGGTGGGCAATTTGATTGTTTCCTGTTTATCAGGAAAACAGCATATGCCTGTGGTACCAGCTAACTGGGAAGCTATGGCAAGAGAATCACAACGTGGCAAGTCCCTGCCAAAAAATCTACTTTATCAGAAATTTTAAAAATAAGATAGACAAGGGCTAGCAGGTGGCATGGTGGTTAAGGGCGCTGGCCAACCACAGTTAAGAGTCCTGGACCTGGTGGCTTGATTTCTCACTTTCCCTCTCTCTCTCACTCTGTCTCTCTCTAGTCAAGCTAAAATAAATAAAGTTAAATAAAATCATTCTTAGAAAAAATAAACAAGCAAGGTAGACAATACCCCCCATGACCAAAACCCTAAAAATAAAGCATGGCCTGATGTTAAGACCATGAGCTGGCCATCCACCTACTGCTGAAGTTGATATCCATGTCAACTAATGGCCATATACGAAAAGCCTACAAGAGGTGACTATGACCCTTGGACTAGGTAATTCCACTTCTACAAACCTGCTTTAGGAAGTAATGAAAAATACAACCAGCCAATCCAACCAGGCACTCCTGCATTAAGGCCTCCTCATAGACTCACTGTCCTGGAACTCTCCACTCCCCCTGACCTGGTGAAATCCTGCTTGGGTTTCAAATGATCACATATAAACAACAAAAATTGTCCATTTCTGACTTTTTAAATGAGCCAGGCACACGCTATCACAACCAGAATCTGATACTGCCTCAGATAGGACTAACTGGGCTGGGGCCCTTCCTTTGTCCTTCAGGGCGCACTGCTCTCTAATTACCCACTTGCCTCTCTGTCTCCCAGCAAACTGAGAACAGGGATTGTGGCTGCCTTGTCTGGCTGCTCCCCCAGCCCCATACCTGCACAGGGCCTGGTGCAAAGGAGGCACATAACACACGGGCTGAGTGGGGAAAAATCAAAGACAGCATGCCCTACAGCAATGTCCTGACATTCCCAAGAGCTGCCCAGACAGAAGACGGGACTTACCGACATGAAGTGGAACCTGAGGACATTGTCAATCCCCAGCGCTTTCAGCTGCAGGATGACAGGTGCCAAGTTGCTACGCTGCATCTCGGGAACAGTAGATTGGGGCAACTTGTCAAAGGCTTCCTCTGAGGATAGGAAATCAGAACTGTTTGGGATCAAATGTCACAATCAAATGCAATCACCATGCCAAAGGAAAAGTTTTCCTTCTCTACCTTGAACAAGAGGCTCTGGCATTCTATGATTCAATGCATTATGATAAACTTGTTTTTATATTTAAGAAAGTTCTATCTAAAAATCACTTTAGATAAATGTATTTGAAGCTTACACCTTTAAAAAATTTGTCCTTTCACTTTAGGATACTGTTTTGCAAGTGTTTTTTGTCAGCAAAACATGAAATCAACACAAGTATTTAATGAATCACTATTGGTGCCCATTTACAATTATCTTTTAAGTCAAGAAAGCAAGGACAGCACATAGGAGTGGACTTCAAAAGTTTGTGGAAATATGTAAAGTACAAGTTTATTTCAGTGCAAGAAATTTGAAATCCATGCATACTTTCTAGTAATACACATTTTCCACAAACTTCTAAAGACGCCTTTATATAAGCAAAGAAAACTTTCAAAAGAAAACCCTAAAATAGCAACCAGAATATAAGAAATGATCACATATAAACAACAAAAATTGTCCATTTCTGACTTTTTAAATGAGCCAGGCACACGCTATCACAACCAGAATCTGATACTGCCTCAAATAGATTATGAACAGCTTAATGCCCCATTAGGAACAAAGGGTGACCTCGAACAGGAAAAAGCATCACAAGGCCCAGAGATCCAAGACGGGAAGGGCAGGAAAGGGGATGAAAAGGAAAAGACTTTCAGAGGCTTTTTTTTATAAAAACTAGACAAAAAGGGTGGGAGAAAACAAGGGAGGAAGAGATTAAATCATTTTGTGTACATTCTGGACAGATTATATAGGGAATGCTCCACCCACAAAATCCTCCGACATCAGTCAACATTTTAACTGATGCACACCCTTCTTAAACAACACAGGGGTGGCCCAATTTCCACTCACATCAAAAAGCTTTAGTTAACCAGAGAAAAACCAAACCCAAATGAAAGATGTCATGAAGAAATATAGTACTATCTCTGAAGACCTTCAAAAAAGATTTTCCTCAAGAAAATAGGTAACCGATATTCTATTGGACTGACTGATATAAAATGCCAAATGCATGGATCTCTAATTTCTGGAACATTTTGGTAGTCTTGGTTAGGATTCTTGCATCATCCAAACATACTGCTGACCAAAGGAAAAGCAAAATAATCAAATAAGAGGATGTTCACAGGAAGTAGGGACTTCTAGGACTTCACAGACACAATTCAACTCCCCTGAGGACTTGAGAGGGTGAGGCTCTGAGCCAGGAGCTGCAGGCAAGCCCCTTGAGGGGCTTCAGAGAGGAGCCTGGAGCCAACTCCTGAACAATGACGTCCAAGCAGAAACAGCAGGGCACCAAACAGTGGTCCTCCCAAGGAGAAAAGGAAGCTCAGGGGAGAAGAAAAATAGCCATCAGAATGAAACACTCCCATAGCTTCATGAGGAACCTGCCTTATGCAGAGGATTTGAAGAAAGAGGAGGATCTGCCAGGCAAAGAAGAAATAGCCCAAGGAAAGGTAGCAAAGGTCTGAGTGGTGGACTGGAAAGCAGAGTATGTGCCAGCAGAGTTCAGCCGGGAAGCAGAGTAGGGTAAGACATGGGAAGAAAAGATAAGCTCAGGAAAAGCCCTAGAAGGTTCTAGGAGACTGTGAAGGTCTGAGCAGACAGTGCTCTGCTCAGAGCTGCACTCAGTAAGGCTCATCTGAAGCCTAGAGGGTAAGGCTAGTGCACCTGTTTCTGTCAGCAACCCCCCCAGCCTTTCTCCAACTAAAACTGTCACACTAGGGGAGTCAGTGACCTTTTAATCTACCTGCCTATCTTTAGTCCCTATGATTTCTCGAGCATATGAGATGATGCTGGCCATTTCTTCTTCAAAAGTCCTTGAGTTTGGGGCCAGCAAGTGGCATGGTGGTTAAGGACGCTGGACTCCCACATGGCAGACCGCAGTTCAAGTCTCAGACCTGGTGGCTTGCTTTCTCACCATCTCTCTCTCCCTCCGTCTCTCTCCCTCCCCCCCACATCCTTCTCAGCACAAATTAAAATAAATAAGTAAAGTTAAATAATTCTTTTTTTAAAAAAAATACTTGAATTCCTTAAAAACTTAAACATACAATTACTGTATGATCCTACAACACCCAAAAAACTGAAGGCGGAATTCAAGGGCATGTACATGCATGTTCATAGCGGCGCTATTCACAAATGCCTTAAGGTGAGAACAGCTCAAATGCCTATCAACTATAAATGCATGAATACATCAACTGTGGTTTACCTCTTCAGGAGAATGGCATTCAATCATAAAGAGAAATGAAATGTATTGTAGGTGGACCTCGAAAACATGCTAAGTAAAAGATGCCAGACACAAAAGGTCAAATACTCTGATTCTATTTACATGAAATATCCAAAATAGATAAATCCATGGAGACAGAGCACGGGGTGATTACCATGGGCTGGGGACAGAAGAATGAGAGAAATCTTAGAGTAAGGGGATTCACTCTGGAGTGATAGAAATGTTTTAAAATTAGAGGTGGTGGTTATGCAACACTGTAAATATAATAAATGTCACTGAATCCTTTGGTCGGAACCACCATCTCCTAGTAATTCCCCAAAATGACGAACACAAAGGTAAAGAGGAGAAGCACCCAATATATGAACTCTAGGCCTTTTAGAAAACATGAAGTGGTTTCTTTGGTAACATACATACAAATCTACAAGAAAAATGGTATTTTAGACATCAAGGGAAGGAAACGGATGCTGTTCAAAAAGAAATGCCCCACTAATGTTACCATGGCAAAATTGGAAGAGTCTACAATGTTACCCAGCACACTGCTGGCACTGTGGTAAACAAACAAGGGCAAGATTCTTGCCAAGATAATGAATGTGTATATTGAGCTTATTAAGTGTTCTAAGAGCAGAGAGCTTCCTAAAAGTGTGGAAAATGATCAGAAAAAGAAGGAAGTCAAAGACAAAGGTACCTGCGTTCAACTGAAGCACCAGCCCAGCCCATTCCACCTAGAGAAGCACACTTTGTGAGAACCAATGAAAAGGAGCCTGAGCTACCGGACCCTATTCCCTATGAATTCACAGCATGATGGGTGTTAAAAATAAACAAACTCTGGTCTATAAAAATGTTCTTCTTCATTGAGTAGAATGTGGTGTTCCCTCCCCCCAAAACAAATTTTAACTGGGCTCTGATTCATTTTGTAATATCTTTATTCAAATTTACCATTTTATTAGCTAAAAGATGTTAGGTAGCTTATTATGCAACAAATAAAACTCAGTTATTTAGAAAAATTTTTTTTAATTAAAAATAAATACCACTGAATTATTCACTTTAAAGTTAAGTTATGCCTCCAAGTACTTATTCTTTGTATTCCCTCTGTCCGGTGCACTAAAATCCAATCACCACTGCTGCAACTACTTGTTTTCTAGGAGTGAGTCTTGGATAACTACTGGGCTTCCAGTAAGATCAGCCTCAAACACCACCTCAGCTGAGAAGCACTCTGCCACGCCCCAGCAGGATAACACTTGCTCCACTCTCTGCCTCCGAGGCGCCCTACCATTGAGGGTGACCCTGATCTGGTTGTGGGTCTGCCTCCACCACCACGTGTAAGCCATGTGGTCACAGAATTGTGACTTACCTAACCCTAGACCTCCAAGTGCTGGCACCATGCCCAGCACATGGCAAGTACTCTGTAAATATTTGTTGAAAGAAATGGGGCCAGCAGGTGACCTGGTGGTTAAGGGCGCTGGACTCCCACATGGCCAACTGCAGTTCAAGTCTCAGACCTGGCAGCTTGCTTTCTCACTTTCCCTCTCTCTTCCTTTCTCTCTCTGCCCATCTCTGGTCAAACATAAATAAAATAAATAAATAAATAAAGTTAAATTAAATAATTCTTAGGAAAAAAAAAAAGAAGAAAAGAAAAGAAAGAAAGAATGATGTCAAAGATGCAACAAGGGGGAACCAGCAGTTAGCATAATGGCTATGTCGCTGGACTCCCACGTAGTCGACCGCGGTTCGTGTCCCGGACCCGGTGGCTTAAAACTCACGCCGGGCACGTGTGCGTGCGTGCCCAAGATCCCGAGAGGAGAATGGAGGAGAAGGGATTGCGGCGTGACCATCCCCCCTGGGGGGTGATTTCTCGCTTTCTGTCTCTATGTCTCTCTCTGTCTGTCTGGCGAGCGCACGCGCCCTACAGTGAAAATCTCTCCAAAAAAAAAAAAGATGCAACAAGGACAGTGGTAACCAGAAAGAAAAAAGGTAATGGCAAAACTAAAACCTTCAGACCTGGTAAGCGATTGCAGATGGATATGGGACAGAGGAGGGAATTAACAATTACAAGGAAATTAGGTCTGGTGAACCAGGAAAAATCTCATACCATTCCCCACAAAACAAAAGCACAAAGAAAGAAAGAACAGCTCTGGGGCCAGGTGCTGGTACACCGGCCCACATGGGAAAGGTCCTGGGTTCACATCCTAGGACCTCCCTGGGCATGTCAGGTGCATGTGCATGCCTGTGATTCGGGATGGCTGACTCGAGGGGCGGATCTCAGGGCGGATCTCACTTCTCCGGCAGATCTCGCTTTGAGGACTCTGTTAAGGATACCTGCCATTCAAGTCTTTCTCTCATGGGAGAAAGAAATGAATTAACATTTAAAAAGAAAACCAGCTCTGGGTGCTTCACTACCTGAAAGTAAGGCCGTCTCCAAGCTGGAAAGAAAGCTCCTTAAGGGCTGGGACAGACTTTATCAGAATTGAATTCTGCTCCCATAACCTAGCACAGTGCACAACACAGAGCAAGAGTTCACCAACTATTTGTTTTCTAGGAATGAGTCTTGGCTAGAGCCTCCATCTTAGCTGTGCAAAGATGCTGTCAACCAGAGATACAAGTGGATCCCAATGTGAGGCCCCACAGAATTCGGGGCTCTAAGACTAAGAAAACAGCACATGAAGCTAAGGAAAAGTGAAGAAAGACAAGACTTGTGACACAGACCAAGCTACAGAGTCACCTCGCTATAGATAGGCTGACAATCAGAAATTAGGTTAGAACAGGATGGCAAATAGTGACTCATTAGCCAACTTGGACCAATAAGAAGTAGCAAAAAACCCTATGTTCAGAGTGGGGAAGGCAGCAGGGACCAGAAGACGCAGGGCCTTGTGATTTCATGGTAAGATCTTCCACCAGGGGTTAACACCTGCTGCCTTTCCCAATGTTCAGGCCAACCATGAGAAGCTCACAAACCCGTCAGGAAAGCCACACTAACCTGTATAAAGGCGGTAGCATTTTCCTGAGCGGTTGCGACCACCACGTCCAGCCCGCTGGTTGGCTGATGCCTGGGAAACCGGTACCACCACCAAGCACTCGATGGCTGTCCTGGGATTGTAGGCTCGGAGCTTCACAAAGCCACAGTCGATCACATACACAATGCCGCTGATGGTGATGGAGGTTTCTGCCACATTGGTGGCCACGATCACCTAAGTTCCCATAGAAAGAAATGTAAGAACACATTCTTTGCCTTTTAATAAACTACTGAGAAGCCTAAGAGGTTTTATGATAGTCCAACATCATAGAATTTGTACGAGGCAGTCTAGTAGACTAGAATGAGAGTGAGTTTCAAGTCAGGGTGCCCTGGGTTTGAATTCTCCCCAAGCGTGTGACCCTGGACAAGTTACTTAACCTTCAAATCATCGACTTCCTCATTACATGATAATATTTACCACTTCCCCCCAGGGATGCTAAAAGGATTAAATAAAATACACACACACACATGGTCTTCAAAAAGTTAACGAAAATAGGTATTATAAAATTATTATTATGCATAGATTTCTCAGTTTTTTGGCATCAAAATAAACTTGTACTTTAATTCCACTTTCCAACAAACTTTTTGAAGCCAGTCCCCTTATACATAAAATAAATGGCGCCTAGGACTTAGTACACAGTAAATATTCAAGAATGTTCATTTTTTTCCCCTTTACATAGAGTAAGTCACCACCCTGTACAGGTACCTCCACTTATTCATTCACACTGCAACTATTCTCGAGGGTCAGCCCTCTACCAGGCTGATCGGGGTACTGGGGATATGAGATAGACAAGATCTGAGATGCACATTCAACGTGAGTGCTTGGGGTGGAGACATGGTGAACATAAACAAATCATTTCAGAGAGTGACAGACTGCATGAAGGAAATACAGCCAGGCAATATAATGGTATGATGTATATAATATGTATGATGAGTTTCAAAAAGTTCATGGAAAAGTAAAATTTAAGTATTTAGTGCAAAATAACTTTGAAATACACACATAGTTTTTATGTAATACACAAGTTTTTATGTAATATACATTTTTTGAGAACTTTTTGAAGATCCCCTCATATATGATATATTGGAAAGTTACAATGCCAAGATGTGCTACTTCAGATTGGATGGTCAGGCAAAGCCTATCAGGAAGACAATTTTGAGCCAAGTCCTAAGTAAAAGAAGCAGTCAATCCTACAGAGATCTGGGCAGAAAAGAATCATTCAAAGGAAGAAACAGCCAGTGAGGTCAGAGTATGGAGGAAGTGCAAAATGAGACTGGGGAGGGCGGAGGGATCAGCTCACACAGTCCCCGGGGCCCCAGGGAGGTTTATGCGTTTTGTTCCAAGCACGCTGGGAACTGCCCCTGGATGTTCTAAGCAGCAGGGAATGTATACATGTGTAGCACTGAGAAGATTTCTCAGGTAGTTTGCATTTTATAAATATCTTCCTGACATTTTTATATTGTAATGAGTTCGGATTATATGCCATAAAACCATCTACCTAAACTTTATTATTACTGATGTTTTCAGCTACAAAAAACAAGACTCAAAGTTATATATCCCATCCCGGGACACATAGTAACTGTGGCAGAAGCCTAGTCCCCTGACTGGTTGGCTGCAATTCACACTCGACTAGGCAGAGTCGAGAGAGTTGTTCCATCCCAGGCCAAGAAGTTGAGTGGTTTAGAAAGCATTTGTTGTATCCATTGTTCCTGACTGACCACAAACCACCAAGAAGTCCCTAAAGCCAATTATGTCATGAGGACTATTAGGCAGAAGAGAAGCAAGAAAAGTAACCTGCCTTGGTATTTACTGCCAGAGTGACCCTTCTCTGGGGAAGGTTTAGAAATCTTTGCAATACCTTATTCATTTAGATCTCCTACTCAGAAACGTGACCTGAAACTCACAGAAACCTTCCTGTTTAGCAACTTTAATTTCAATTTAAAATGTCTTTCCAGTGCACAGCAAAGGGGCACCAGTAGGACTAGAGATGGCTGCAAACACCCTTGGTCATCAGCATAGTCTCACCTTTCTGACACTGCGTGACACTCTTTTAAACACTTTCATCTTCTCCAAGCGA